ATGGCAGCTGAAGGAAACTTCACTAGGTGACCCGCAGACTTGCAAGTAAGTAATAAATGCTTTTTGTTGTACGCTACTAAGATTTTGAATTTGTTTATTATTCTGAAATAGCTAATTAGTACAAAATTTGGACCTCTTATCCAACCTCTAGTTCTAAAATATTTAAAGGAAAGTGGAAATTAGAAAACACTTTTCATTCTTCTTAAAACTCCATTATAAAGCCATGGCCCCCATAACTATTGTCTCTGAAACAAGCTTCAAAGATGTTTCCAAAGTCAAAAGCTGAACTTTTCTCCTTTCTGTCTCTGCATTCCTGACATAGCGATACCATACAAGACAAAGGGTGAATGTCACTCACAAGGAAGTGTGAAAAGAAAAAAGACATTATCAGATTTCAATACAGGCTCTTCACTAATAGTATAGAATGATGAAAAGAGAGCATAAGCTTTGTTAGAGAGATTGACTTAGCTCTGAGCCATAACCCTGCCATTTACAGTCTTTATAGCTAATTTACTTCTAGCTTACAAGGAGTAACACAACGAAATAAGTGTTCCAAGCAATAAAATGCTTAGTTCTCACTATGACCCTATCAGGTTATCCCTATTTAGTTTAATATCCCTTTTTAATAATTGAGGAAACTGAGATTTAGAGAAGTTGCCTAAGCTCACACGTCTGGAAAGTGAAGAAGAGATTAGAAAAACCTGTCTCTGCTTCCAAAGCTTTTGCTCTTCAACTTTAACCTATTCAGGGATGATATTCAAAATATTTAACAACTCAACTTAATAAAAATTAATACACAAATAAACATATAAATCAAAATTTACTTTTAAAATTCCCTTCACTCCCAACTCTATGTATTATAAAACTGTTTATCAAGGATAGAGGTAGTAGGGCAAACTGTTTGCCAAATAATCCTAAAAATTTCATCATTCGTTAATTTTTAGAAAACGTTAGTATAATGTTTTGTGATATTTTTTGATACCAATTGCCACTAGCCAAATGAAGCCCTTTTCTGAGACATGAACTGACCTAAGAAAGTATATCAAATTCTTTCAGTGACCTTCCCACTAAATTGCTAGTCATTAGTTAGTTTTTAGTCTCTCAATAACTAGAGAAAAATTATTAACTTCAATATTATTTATGATGCTGAATCTTCTATCAGTTTCTGCTAAATAGAGGTTGCATTTATACCTTATAATAACATCTGAGATATTTACAGTCATATCCCGTTCATTTTAAATCCTAAAAATGATTTATTATACTGTCATATTTATTTTAGTCGAGCCTAATTCCTCAAGTCAGAGGACAGCAACACAAAAAGACCCTTAAGAGAGTGGACTCTGTTGCTGGACTGCCTTGGTTTGAATTCTGACCCTGCCATTTAAACTTGAAACTCTGTGCCTCAGTTTCTTCACTTTTAAAGATGACCATAATTATAGTACTCAAATGAATTAATACACATTTGGAATGGTGCCTGGCATAGAACAAGCACTATATAAGCATTAGCCTTCATTTTTATTAATAAAATTAATTTCATTAATATCTATGACAGACAGGTGTTTTGTGTTTTTTAACAATTCACCTCATTAAATGAAGGTGAAATGTAACAGATTTCCAGGGGCGACTCCCCTAACACATTCAGAACCAAAAAGTTCAACACAGACAATCTGCCTTTAAATCCTCTGATGGGAAGAAGGGTAAATTGATTTGCACTTCACTCCTAACCTACACAGGTTGCCCTTTGGAGTTTTAACTGTATTCATGAATCTTCTTTGAGACGACCCACTGTGACAGAGTCTAGGCTTTGTTTCATTCCCTGGAGGCCTCTGAGGCTATAAAAATTAAAACTCAATGTCATCTGGTTTGGCAAATGTCCTCAGAGTGAAAGTTACCCTCAGTGCTCTGCACGTGACTCTGGGTTCCTCCTTGATTTAGCGTTTAGCCTGTGTACTCCTTATTCCTTTCTAAGTCTCAAAAGCATTCATGAACATGTTTTGTTTCTATTTTATCTAGAATTTTGGTTGTTTGCAGAGAATGGGTCAGTCCAAGTTCCAGTACATCACAATCCCATTCCAAATGCACACCCACTAACTCACAAGTACTATTTTATTTTTATTTTAAAATAATATCTTCACATCATACTTATACTGTAATTTGCCAACTTTTGACTTCTTTTAACTCTGCAGTATGAAATAAGAAATTTGGCACATTTTACTGCCTCCCAAACTTTCATCTCTTGATTTTATTATTTCATTATTGATATTAAGGCTTCTAATATTTATATTTATAATATTATAATTAAGTCCTCTGCAATTTGTACAGATTGATTTAAAATCAATCAATATTAAAAGAGAACTTAGAATACCATGATTATTTTCTGTTGAACTTATTAGTGTGGCCAAATACATAGAGAAGTAAATGAAATTCTGTCACGAAACCTCTGACTCTTGAAGAACGTCCCACGCGTGAGCTAAAAATGCCTTCTTCATTAACGTATTTTCACTTTACTTCATCCGCGAAATGCTCAGTTTCTGTTCTTCTCTCTGTTTGAGTCACCTTCTTGTTTTCCTTTTTCATTTTGCTGGAGCATCTTCACATACGAGGAAGAAGAGGAACTAAACCTTCTGAGCTCTTGAGTGTCATAAAATTATTTCTTTGCTTCATTTAATTGAAATTTGGGGTAGAGGCAGTATTTCATATCCAAAATTATCATCCATCAGCTCCTAGCGCTGACATGTTGCTAATGCTGCTGAAAAAGCATTGTTATCAGGATGTTTCTCCTCCCTTTGTAGGTGACCCAGTTATTTTTCTCTATGGAAGCTTCAAGGGAATTTTTATTTCTAGCCTTCTGAATATGCAAAAGAATGTGAAAAGAATTATGCCTTTTAAAATTCACCCTCCTTGGTATTTTGTTGAGTTCTTCTAATTGAAGACTTATATCTTTATGCAGCTCAGGATAACTTACTATTTTTTATATATAGCAAATACTCCCAACTATGATTTCAGCATTCTGCTTCTGGAATGCCTAACAAAAAAGTGTTTGGCTTGTGTCTAGCTTCCACTCATCATATTTTCAATCTCTTTGTCTTTTTATATTTAACTAAAGCTTATGTTGTAGTTTTGGATTTTTAAAAATTATTTTACTAGGTTCTTGTAAAGGAAGGGAAATGTATATGTATGTTCTTTCATATGAAACCAGAAATCTGGGGTTTTTAATATTTTATGTGAAACTTATGTAAATGTTGAAAATTAAACTATACTCCCTCCTTCAAGATTGCAGCATATACATAAATTTTAAACATGTAAGAGGTAAATTTTCTAGCACTTTTATTTGAAGTGAAAATGATAAAATTAATTCCATTATTTCATAAGCTTGAGCTCAATAATTTAGATATATCCTTAGATACATGTTATACACCCACATGTTAAAGGGTAATCTCATTTGCAGAAGAGATTCAAAACCCAAAGTGTTCTATGTGATTAAACTTCTTTTGCTTCTTGGGCAAGTAGAGTCCCATCCAATACTTTTAATTGCAAGTATTTCATGCCAAAAGAAGACACTTCTAAAAAGGAGTTTCCAGATCCAGTGAGAGACAAAGTTAAAAGAGAAAAATGTAAATTAAGTAAAAGCAATCGGTAGAGCAACTCATCTTCCTGTGGAGCAGAGCTCCATCTTTTTTCACTACAAACATTACGTTTACATATGCATTCCTACAGGTACCTTCAGAGATCTGCATTGTTTTTTCCCTAGTAGCTATAATATTGTGATGGAAATAACTATGAATCCATGCCAAATATTATTAAGCTTCACAGTTTTATATTAGTAATAAATTACTTATGATATACTTCACAGTGGATCCCAAGGTGTATACCATGACTCACTTGAGAGACACAACACAACCCTAAAATTCCTCAAGGTGAAGAAAACATCTATTAAAACAACACATTTATTTTACAATTTTGAGACTCTCTTACATGTAAAGAACACTGCTAGATGATTTTAAACTGTCTTTTGAACGCATAGCTACAAAAAATCTCATAGAACCTGATGCTAATTTTGGCCCCCTCTGTTAGAGTCAGTCAGTTAAGGTCTCAGAAAAAAAGAAGTCCATTCTTGAATTGCTCTCACCAAACTAGTAAAGTAAATTAGTAAAGTAAGAAATTTGTACTTTCTTTAAATTAGTTCATCCTAATCTTGTACTAGTTATTTCACCATTGAAAACATTATAAACCAACTCTTGGATTGGGTGCCTAGTAGAATTTTATTTCATCAAGGAATGCTACATCTCTGGTTGATTGGCTACATTTTAAAACCTGGTTGATGATGCTGTTCTGGTACTTTGTTATTAATGATTTATAATGACAGTCCAATTTCTATAAATATTTATTTTAACAATATCTGTATACACAAGCCTAACTTTTTAACTATGACTTTCACTTTAATCTTTTAGTAAATTTAATCTGAATAAAATAGTCAAATATTCATTTTTAAGTTTCATCTGCTTTACTTGTTTCAATCTATTCAATATTAGCTATTTATAAAAAAATGGAAATTCAGTTAGAAAAATTCATATCAACACAGTTTAAAATACAGATTAACAGGGATTAAACAAACTGCTGAAGAGTCTTAGGTTTCAAGATAGATTCAGACTGAAAAGGGAAAAACGTTACACTTACAGGTAAATTCAGTTGACCCTAAAGTAAAGCTTCCAATTCATACACAACCCAAGTTCAGTTTTCCTGTATGTCCTAAGAATGAATGCTCTCTGACCCTAAAGGAAATGTTCCTTGTAATATTCTCCCACAGACCAACGCTGGACTTCTGTTTAGCTTCAAAAATTTTGTTGAACTTTAAAAATATGGAAGTACCATACAAGCCAAAGATGTTACAGCAGGCTACCAGGTACCTCTTTCTGGTCCTAATACAATGTTTAAGTTAGGCAGTCTCCTCCAAGATTCCTAGATTAGAAATAAGTTTGATTATAGAGGAGTCTTCTTACCATATCTGATAGTTTAATAATTCTTTCCGTTCTTGACAAGAAAGCAGCACATCGGTTAGTCAAGTTACGTGGTTCATCAGAAATTCCACTGACCTGTGAATTCCAAAAGGCACATTTAAAAAAAGGAGTATATCATTTATTTTTGTCAATACAAGTGATCCAATAAATAATAAGTTTGCAATGAAGCTCATCAATATTGTTCTGTCATTTAATAGAGATAGACATATATTCATAAAAGAAAAAATTTTTAAATGGGATATAGAAGTAAGAGAGTTTAAGTCAATGAGATATTAAAATGCAAAAAGAGTTGATTATGTGAGCCTCTAGAAAGTAAGATGGATCTGCATACATTATTTAAACATATTACAGGCAAGTTACTAGCTATAATCTAATGTCAAATTCATACCTCAATTCTTTTACTGTTTCATAACCAGCAAGTTGTAATCTCAATAATATATATTTGGCCAATTATATAGCATTATTTGCTAATATTTAATTATTAATGTGTGACATAAAAATCTATTAACAATAACTATTCAAATTATGTGGAATCTTGGATTAATAAATTTTCTAAGCAAAATGATCCATAGTCTCTTAAATATCATAACTCCTTATATGCATTGAACATGTAAATTAATAGGCTAGAGGTAGCTAGTAATCTGAAAATTTAATTAGCAATTAACTAACCCTTAAGTTATTATACTCTTTGATTTGTCATACAATTTAGCCATTTGTATTCATTTAATAATTTGTATAACCAGCAGTAACATTCTTCGTATATACAAAAAGGATGAGGATTTATTTTCCCAGTTTTACACACTTCACTGTGTTTTATATTTCCAAATTTGATATTCATATTTAGTACTTCAGAATTTGATACCTAGTAGAATAATTACGGATCTCTTTATTTGTTCATTTTGAGGAACATTAGTCTACTAAAACATCCGTCTCTCACATCTTTGGAACTAGGTGCATCTTTGGAACTATGTGCCTCTCTACCCTATATGCTGAAGTTGGTGCTTCTCCACGCTTTTCCTCATGATATTATCCCCACCAGTCACTCAAAAAAAAAAGAAAAAAGATTTTATCACCTTCAAAAACAGAAAAACCACACTTCATATCTTGTAGAAATGTGAAAGCTTTCAAATATAGATTATCTGAGCCAGCATTATTATTTCATGTGATTTTTATATTGAAGTTTAAAATATTTCCTTTTATAATAACTTTATTATTATCATGTATGTGGTATTAGAAATTATGACATGAAGCATTTTTCAATTTTTACTGTTTAGGGTTAGAAGTTTTAAGCTCAAGAAATGAATTACTCATTGGATGACTTTGGCTTTTGAGGAAGTGAGTAGTTTATAGACCACATTTTTACCAAAATAATTAAAAATAAATCCAGACAAAATATAACAAAACCCAATTTTTGAAGCCCTCATAGAGTTGTAGCTGCTTCCAACTCTGTGAGTTGTCAGCATAGACAAGGGGGCTAAGATTCTGAAGAGGGCAGAACCTCTGAAAGGTGAGCTGTCAATCTACAGGTGCTTTCTCCCTGGGGGCATTTGCTGATAACAAGCAATAGAGAAAGAATCTGGGGTTAGACTTGGCAGAGAGCTGCTGTTAAAGAACTAAGAAACAGGTTTATTGTGGTCTTGTTGGACCAGAAAGACAAAAGTGAAGATTTGAGGAGCCTGAAAACAAAACTCTGTTTCCCCATCAAGAGGTTTGCAAGGGAATGAGGGGCAGGGCGATGCTAAAAATCTAAGCCAAAACTCTGAAACACAGAGGCATTAAAGATTTAGAGTTCAGAACCTGACAGAGAAAGGGGTCTTGAACACATCAGGGCTCATAGTTGAAATCCCTAGAGGACTACATTAAAGAAAATGAACAGGACCAGCCCCATGGCTGAGTGGTTAAGTTTGCGCGCTCCACTTCGGTGGCCTGGGGTTTCACCGGTTCAAATCCTGGGCACAGACACGGCACCGCTCATCAAGCTATGCTGAGGCAGCATCCCACATAGCACAACTAGAAGAAACCACAACTAGAACATACAACTATGTACTGGGGGGATTTGGGGAGAAGAAGAAGAAAAAAAAGAAAACGAACAAACCAGAGATAAACTAAGCCCTAGAAAAACTGTAATCACCACGATCCATGACTGGAATAAGACAACAACATTTAGAGTCCCTATATCATGCACAATATCTGGCATCCTATTAAAATTCTGGGGCATTGCAAGGGAAACAAGAGAAAAAATAAACAAATGGGCCTACATCAGACTAAAGAGCTTCTGCAAGGCCAAGGGAACCAGGAACAAAAATGAAAAGACAATCCACCAACTGGGAGAAAATATTTGCAAAACATATATCTGACAAGGGGTTAATCTCCAAAATATATAAAGAACTCACACAACTCAACAACAAAAAAATAAACAACCCAATCAAAAACTGGGCACAGGATATGAACAGACATTTTTCCAAAGAAGATATACAGATGACCAAAAAGTACATGAAAGATGTTCAACATGACTAATCATTGCAGAAATGCAAATCAAAACTACAATGAGATATCATCTTACATCCATTAGAAAGCCTACAATTCCCAAAACAAAAAACAACAAATGTTGGAGAAGATGTGGAGAAAAGGGAACCCTCATACACTGCTGGTAGGAATGCAAACTGGTGTAGCCACTATGGATAACAGCATGGAGATCTCTCAAAAAATTAAAAGTAGAAATACCATACAACCCAGCCATCCCATTACTCAGTACTTATCCAAACAACTTGAAATCAACAATTCAAAGAGACTTATGCGCTGCTATGTTCATTGCAGCCTTATTCACAATAGTCAAGACATAGAAGCAACCCAAGTGCCCATCAACAGATGAATGGATAAAGAAGTTTTGGTGTATATATATACAATGGAATACTACTCAGCCCAAATCATCCCATTTGTAACAACATAGATGGACCTTGGGGGTATGATGTTAAGCGAAATAACCCAGACAGAGAAAGACAAACACCATATGATTTCACACATATGTGGAAGATAAACAAACAGGTGGACAAAGAGAACAGATTAGTTGTTACCAGAGGGGAAGGGGGTTGGGAGCTGCATAAAGGGGCACATATATATGGTGACTGACAAATAATAAAGTAACTTAAATTTCACAATGTTATAGACTATTATGACCCCAATAAAATAAAATAAAATAAATTATGGGACATGCCAAAGACAGACGTGCATGATCAAAATCAAGATAAAAAAATAATAGAAAATAACAACAGACTGATAGGTAATCCAGATATTGGAGTTAATAGGCAGGACTTTAAAATAACTGTGATTAATGTGTTCAGGAGAACAGAAAGGAAATATTGAAAAGAATACTTGAAAACATAGAGAATTCCTTCTGAGAAGTGAAATCTTTAAGAAAGAATTAAATAGGCATTCCAGAACTGAAAATTAGAATATCTGAAATTAAGAATTCCAGAGATCAATTTAATAGCATTTGAAACACAGCTGAAAGAAAGATTAGTGAATTGAAAGACAGCTCTGTAGAAAATATCTAAACTGAAGCACAAAGAGAACAGAGACATAATACAGAGGGGTTATAAGAGATGTTTGAGGCATGGTGAATAAGTGTAACATAGATTTAGTAGAGTTCCAGAGAGATAAGCAGGAAAAAAATGTGACAGAAAAAATATATGAGGATTTAATAGTCAAGAATTATGTAAAACTGATAAAAGATATCAACCCAAAGATTTAAAGGTTCTGCAAACTTCAGGCAAATAAATATAAAGAAAGTCACAACTTTGACATATCAAAGACAAAGACAAAAAAAACATACAATTGCTTTCAAAGAGGAAACGAATCTCAAAAGAAATGACAGAAGGCTAAAACAATGGAATGACACCTTTACAGTGCTGAAAGAAAATAACTGCCAACCTAAAAATCTATATCCCCCCGAAATTTAAAAAGAACAAAATAAAGACATTTTCAGACAAAACCTACAGTAATTAATCATCAACAGACCTGGACCAGGATAAAGACTAAAGGGAGTTTTTCAGGCAGAAGAAAAATGATTTCATATGGAAATAGAGAAATGCAGAAGGAAATGAAGCACAATAGAAAGGATAAATGTCTGAGTAAATACAAATAAATACCGACTGCACAAAACAATAATATTCAACGTGTTGTAAATATATGTAAACTTAAAATGTATGACAATAATTAAACAAAAATAGGAGATAGAAAAACAGAGCTAAAATGTTCTTAGCACTACTGGGAAAGTAGTAAAAGTAAACCTTTTATTGGACTGCAGAAAGTAAAGGATGCATATTGTAATTTTGATGGCAACCACCAAAAGAATAGTAAAACCATGTATAACTAAAAATGCAATAGAGGTAGATGAAATGGAATAATATAAAATATTTAATTAATTCAAAAGAGAAGGTGAAGTAAGAAAAAATGCTAAAACAAGTGGGCCTATAGAATCTATTAAATAATATGGTTATTATACACACAAATATATCAGTAATCCATTAAATGTAAGTGGATTAATATTGCAGCTAAATACAAAGTTTACCAGACTGAATTTTTCAAACTCAGATGTATTTAGGGTGTATCTTTCACTCTTGACTATAGTTTGTCAAATTTTATGTAAACTACCAGAGTCTGAGTTATAACTACAGGCAGTTTTTAATTGTTAATAACAATAACAAAACTTATTGAGTCCTTACTATGTTCCAGAAATTATTTAAAGTATTTCACATATATTGATTCATTTAGTATTCACAATAATGCTTTGAGGTACATACTATCATGATCTCCGTTTTATTAAGGTATAAAGAATTCAAATAATTTACACAAGGTCAGTGCCCGAGCAGGATAATATCCTCAAGCACTCTGACACCAGAGATCACACTCACAATCTCTGAGTGATACTGTCTCAATGCCTGCAGTGGACAATAAAGCCTATTCATAATGAGGGCTTTTAAAAAGATTTCTGGCAACTTAAATTTTAGTAATTCTTTTTATGTAAATGCCAGGTTACTCAGAATAATGAACTTCTAGTACTTTTAAACAAAATA